CTGGGAGACAGGAGAGCGTTCCTCAGGCTGGGCAGCAGCACCCCAGAGCTTGCCGGGCTGCAGCACCCGGGTGCCTGGCTGTCAAGCCCCCAGTGACTCCTCCTCAGACCTGAACCCACAACCCTCATGCATAGCACCACACAATTGGATGGGTTCATCATCATGCTAACCCAAGCTAACCAATCTGCTTGGTTTTGTCCTAGCAGTGTCAACGCTGCAAATACTGTATATTCTTTTGTACAAAATTGGGTGACTAGCTTACTGACTGCATGATGGCTTGTTCAACCAACCATGCAAATTGGCTTACTGTAGTTTGAGAGACTAGCCATGGAACTGAAACACATGGCTTTTCATAGAGTGCCATGCTCTTGATCAATAAACCATGGTTTATAGGATCCTGTTATGCACATGGACAAACTCAAATGCTGGTTAAAATGAATCGTGGCTTAATGGAATGTATGAAGATCTATTGTTAACCTGGGGCACAAATCTCAGTGTGGCACCTTTGACTATTTCACTGGTTCCTTTGGATAAAGGCTGAGCTCAGTGGTCATAATATTTTCCACCCAAAAATATTCTCTCGGCTGGAAGGCCTCAAGCTATGGGCAGCCCCTGTCAGTAAGAAAGACGTGCCCAGCTGGGCAGCAGAGGGCAAGGCTCCTGGAGAAGGGGCTGCCCTGCACACCTCCGGGGGCCAGCTCCTTTCATGCTGCCTATACTGAGCCCCCTCTCCACAGCCAACACCTCCTCACTTACCAATGACTAAGGTGGAAGCCCCCGTGTTGGTGAACGTTGGTGCAAGCGAAGATGTGTCTCCAGGGCCAATGGCCATGACCCCCGGGAGGGAGGTCATGATGAGGTTCTGCGTTTGATGGCTCAGAGCGTGTGGGTTGGGGTCCAGGCTGTGCAGCGCCGTTAGGGTACTGACGGGGGGGAGCGAGCCCCCTGAAACAGAGATCTGTGGGACAGGAAGGAAGCCAGAAGGTCTCAGGGCCCTTTGGAGCCCAGCAGGTGTCTGGGGACCACAGTAGTGCCCGGAGAGCTTTAAGTCAATGGTCTCTGCCCTCCTTTGCTTGATCTGGCTGGTCTTGACCCCGGCTGGTCCTTCTCCTCTCATGCTAGAGTCAACACCCAGCTTGGACATAAATGTGTTGGGTGATCAGAGCATAGAGGTAACACTCCTTTAATAATCTGGCGTTTGTAAATGGCACATCCCAGGAGGGGAGCCCTCAAGATGCGCCCACAAAGGATGGCAGAAACTGCAAGGGGTCCTTCTCCTTGGCTTAGGACCCTCCCCTTGGCTTCTTGGCTGTCAAGCTAAGCCCAAGAATGATGTGGGAAAAGAATAACAGAATAACCGAAGGGAGATCTTCTAGTCCAACCCTCTGCTCAAGCAGGAGATCCGATAGATAGATAGATAGATAGATAGATAGATAGATAGATAGATAGATAGATAGATAGATAGATAGATAGATAGATAGATAGATTAGATAGATAGATAGATAGATAGATAGATAGATAGATAGATAGATAGATAGATAGATAGATAGATAGATAGATAGATAGATAGATAGATAGATAGATAGATAGATAGATAGATGATGGATGGAGATAGGTAGATAGATAGATAGATAGATAGATAGATAGATAGATAGATAGATAGATAGATAGATAGATAGATAGATAGATAGATAGATAGATAGATAGATAGATAGAT